GGGGGTTCATTGGATGTACTGGGTGAGTGTGGTGGGTTAAATAGCATCCCTTCAAAATTCATGTCCACTGGAACCTCAGAGTGTGACCTTATTTGGAAACAGGGTCTTTGCAGATGTAATGAGTTAAGGACTTTGAGGTGTAAGATGAAATCACACTAGATTTAGAGTGAACCTAAATCCCCAAACTGGTGTCTTATAAGAAAAGAAGAGGACAGAGACACACAGAGAGAGTTTAATATGAGACAGAGGCAGAACTTGGCATTATGCAGCCACAAACCCAGGAATACCTGGGGCCACTGGAAGCTGGAAGAGGCAGGAGGGACCGTTCTCCAGAGCCTTCAGAGGGACCCCAACATTGCCAACATCTTGATTCCAGGCATACAGCCGCCAGAACTGAGAGGCTAAATTTCTGCTGCTTTTGGCCACCAAGTTCATGGTGATTTGTTATGACAGCCTTAGGAAACTCATACAGTACAGGAGAACATTTGAATTCAGAATGGACCTGTCAAGTTTGGTGTGCCTGGAGGGCCCTTGTTAGGGACGGCCTCTGGGCAACTGGACATCTGAGAGGAGCAGCTGAGGTTAAAGATGTCAGTTTTGGAGCCATCCATAAAAAATAGTCATGGAAAAGTCAGGAGCAGGTGAGACCACCGGGGGAAAGGGTTTGGAGCAAGAAGGTAGGGTGGAAGGCAGAACATAAGGGACCACCTCCACTGGGGGGGCGACTAAGGAGGGGAGGAAGACGCTGAGAAGGATGTGCTTTAGGAAGGAGGGATTGCTCAGTCATGTCCAGTACAGTAGAGGTGCAGAAGTGTTGCTGGTTTAAAAATTACTCAATAAGCAGTCATCCCATACCCTCTTGAACTGGTTGAGACAGGTGAGAGGTGACGAAGTAGAGATACAGCACTGACTCCTCATTTCATAGAGTCGGATTGTGTAGACAAGGAGAAATGGGATTGACTGTAGTTGGAAGAAGAAACATACCCACTTGGTACTTTTTCTTAAGACTATGACATGTCATTATATTTTTAGGCTGCAGGAAGGAAGCATATAATCAATAAAACAAGTTTCCAAAGACACCTAATAAGTATTTTTTACTGTGCACATTCTACATGCCAGGCACTGTGCTGGATTTAACTGAATGATCTCGCTGCCCTTCTCAACACCTCTACAGAATAGAGAAGTGTTGCCCCATTGCATGTATGGGAAACTGAGGCTGGGAATGGCAAAATAATTTCCCCAAGTCAGTACAGCTCTGATTTGAACCCAGGTCCATCGACTCCTATGTTTTAGTTCTTCTCACTATGTTACTTTTCATTGGAACAAAAAAAGACAGTGTCTTTCTCTAACTCACAAAGAATAAGAAGCAGCGTAAAGAAATAAGCCCAAGATTTGCAGTGGAGGAGAAGGAAGCTGGAGGTGTTTCTATCACATGGTCTGTGTCCTCATTCAACTATGAATCAAAATTATCAGCTGCAAGGGAGGAAGAATGAAGCCAAGCACAGGTCCTTGAGAAAGGAAGGGAATTAGGATAACCTTAGTGGTGAGATCCGTTAGGGAGCCAGCCAGGCAGAAAGGAAAAACCTCGCTTAAGTCTCTGCTCAGATTAGTGGGCTGGATTTTTAGGGAAGCTAACCTGTGTGAGGTAACCGGAAGTTCATCTCATGGTGGACATCTAGCCAGGACATTTTAAGTGACAGCAGTGAAAATGCCCCAAGCCTGAGATACTTATGATTTTAACTTTAGACACCACACACTGCAGGGCTCCAGAAGCGAGCTGTCAGTAATCCCATAGGGATTATCAGTCCGAAACCCCTGCTGAAGGACAGAACACTGGTCAGCCTGGAGCTGACCTGTCAGATCCGGGTCCTCCCACTGCCGTGCCGAAGCCAGGTGCACTCCCAGCCTCTGCCAGGGTTGCTGTTCCGATATAAAAACAACTAAGATCTTGACTCAAAAATAACAACATCTGCTAATTTGCATAAAGGTTTGCATTTCGTATTTGGGTTTAATACCCAATGCTAAAGTTCATTTGTTTGACCTTAGTTAAGTGGTCTAGAGTTCAGGCAATAAAAACTCCTTGTGGGATTCCACACTGATGCACCCACACCCAGCTCCGCTGTCTTCTCTCCTCACCTGCTGCTGTACACACGTTGGACTGACCCTCACATGAATTATGGGTTTAAAGGGGCAAATCAGTTCACCTGAAGGCTTATTATTTTTAAAAGGGTCCCTCAACAAGGGCGTCTCCCCAAGTGCACGTGTCCATCGAGAGCGCTGCGGTGGGGCTCTGAGATGCTCCCAGTCCTCCAGGGTCTTGATTCCCAAGGAGCAACTTCTCCTTGGGACTCCCTGGGACCCGGTGTGAGGGCAGCAGTCAAGAAGCAAGAGGTTTGAGAGGAGACAGCAAAGAAGGTGTTAATGGATAAATGTGAGGCCCCATTCGCCATAAGGCAATTACTGGGATTGATTGTTTCTGTGTTTCCTTAGTCACGGTTCAGCTTGCTTGTTTCACTCAGATCAAGGCAGATGAATGCTAAACGCACACAGGCATGTGATGTCAGGAGAATTATCAATGGCACGTCCAAGGCCTCTGCCTTCTCTTTTTTTGGGTATCATTAATATACAATTACATGAGCAACACTGTGGTTACTAGATTCCCCCATTATCAAGTCCCCACCACATACCCCATTACATTCACTGTCCATCAGCGTAGTAAGATGCAATAGCTTCTTCTCTACTTGTCTTCTCTGTGTTATACTGCCTTCCCCATGCCCCCCTCTACATTATGTGTGCTGATCGTAATGCCCCCTTTTCCCCTTATCCCTCCCTTCCCACCCATCCTCCTCAGTCCCTTTCCCTTTGGTAACTGTTAGTCCATTCTTGGGTTCTGTGAGTCTGCTGCTGTTTTGTTCCTTCAGTTTTTGCTTTGTTCTTATACCCCACAGATGAGTGAAATCATTTGGTATTTGTCTTTCTCTGCCTGGCTGGCTTATTTCACTAAGCATAATACCCTCTAGCTCCATCCATGTTGTTGCAACTGGTAGGATTTGTTTTCTTCTTATGGCTGAATAATATTCCGTTGTGTATATGTACCACATCTTCTATATCCATTCATCTACTGATGGACACTTAGATTGCTTCCATTTCTTGGCTACTGTAAATAGTGCTGCAATAAACATAGGGGTACATCAGTCTTTTCCAAACTGGGCTCCTGCATTCTTAGGGTAAATTCCTAGGAGTGGAATTCCTGGGTCAAATGGTATTTCTATTTTGAGTTTTTTGAGGAACCTCCATACTGCTTTCCACAATGGTTGAACTAATTTACATTCCCACCACATCCTCGCCAGCATTTGTTGTAGTTTGTCTTTTGAATGTTGGCTATCCTAACTGGTGTGAGATGATATCTCATTGTGGTTTAATTTGCACTTTTCTGATGATTAGCAATGTGGAGCATGCCTCTGCCTTCTTGTGCAGATGCCACCAGGGTTCTCAGCTGGGCTCAAAGGGGATCACGGTCATTGTGGGGATGAAGTGCGTGGGATGAGAGCCTGTAGCATGGACTGTGGACTTGGGAGTTTGAGGTAATACATTCTGTCTGTTTCCCATGCGTGGTGTAGTGAGGTGGTTTTCCTACTTGAGGCTTCCTCAGCATCCCCTGGAGGGCTTGTTAAACACACATGCCTGGGTCACATCCCCGGCGTTGCTGATTCAGTGAGTCTGGGATTGGACCCAGAAGACTGCATTTCTAACGAGTTCCAGGACTCTGCTGCAGGTTTGGACACCCTACTTTGAGAACCAGTGGGTAACAATCAAGAGCATGGACACTGGGCTCTACTATTTACGAATTAGGTGATCATGGGGCATTTACTTAACCTCTATGTGCCTCTGTTTCCTCATCTTTAAAGCAGGGATGAAAATAATAGTACCTACTACATGGGGTTGTTTACAAGGAATGAAATGACTTAGAACTTGTTAGCACTGAGATGTGCCCGGTATAGAATATGTACTCTGTGCATTGGATAAATAAGTAACGGAGCCAGCCTCTTGGAATTGTAAGCATGGGATCAGTCCAAGTCTCATATCTCCAACACCTGCTGCTCCCAGTGGAGTTGCTGGGTCATTTTACCCATTAGTCTTCAATCCCATCTCTAGTGGCCAAGAAAGTTAATGCCCAGCTCAGTGCCAGAAGGAGGGAGGTTGTATCAGCATTCATCACGGTCCTCCACTCATGCTACCTTAACCCTTTAAATGAGACTGGGACACTAGGTGTTGTGCATTTGGGGTTTCTCTCCCCTCCGCTGGCAAAAAGAAGGACTCTTTTATGTCAAGCTCAGCTGCAGACTCATACCAATTGCTGCCATTTATTGCATGCTTACTCTATGCCCAGTTCTGTATGTTTTATGTGCGTGACTTTACTTAATCCTCACTATGTCACTATTAGGTAATAGTTATTATCCATGTTTTAATACTGCTGGGATTCAGAAAAATTTAATGATTTCTCCAAAGTCACAGAGCTATCAAGTGATAAATCCAAAACCAAAAGTGAGGTCTGTCTGACATCAATAATTTACAGTCATAAAGTTCTATAGCACCTCTAGTTTTATATGAATATTTCTATAAAGGTTAAGTCTGGGTCCCCAGGTATCCAGCAATGGCAGCTTCTCACCAAAGGTAAGCGTCCTAGAACTGAGCTTGTCTGTCTCAGGGATTTGCTTTGCGGAAGCCTGTGGCAGGGCCCACAGAACAACTCCTTTTGGAAATGTCCTCTTCGGTGACTTGCCTTCCATTGATTATTATTCTCTCTGGCCTGACTTCTGGATGAAATTGTATTCACATTGCCAAAGGCAGCTTTTCTTGTCTGGATTTGGATACTGACCTAGTTACCTTAATGTTATCGATTGCAGACAGTGCTCTGAACCAAATAGCACCCAGGGGCTATGTGGAAGGGTGGGAAGAGAAGGATGGTATGCTAATGAAACTTTACTCTTTATCCACAGTGTTCCTTTCTGCCGAAATTCTCCATTCACATAGAAACCAAGTACGAGGACAACAAAGGAAGCAACGACAGCGTGAGTAGCTCCCCCATTCCACACTGTGCTCGCCTACTGGGCTCTGGGGGTCACAGCACTTCCCACAGCCTCTCGTATGGCCAGGGCCAGCAGCAGCATCTGTGCCTGGGACCTCGGAGAAGCTCTGGCCTTTGACTTCTGAGGGCTCTTTCCTTGGGATTTCTCCCAGGAATTATTTCATTGTCTAGCTTTTCATCTCATTTTTCTTTCCATTCTTTTTTTATTCTTTCCATGGGCCTCTGTGCAAAAACCTCTGTGACCTGGAGTGATTGTCATCAGGGGTCAAAAGGATGGTGGGGGCCTTTTAACTTTTATTTCTGATCATTGGATTGAGCATACATCTCCTCAATGACTATTAACATTTGCTTAGAAAAAATGAATATAATCAAATATGTGTACATCCTGTATATATTGTCTAGGTGGTGTGTATGTTTACCTATATACACATGTACCCACGTATCACACCTGAAAATCAGTGTACCTCCTGCAGAATACTTAACTCATGAGGCTTTCTAACTCTTACTAAATTCCAGCCAAGTGCTTTGTTTATTAGTATTGCCTAAAATTCATCTTCCTGGCTTTTACCCGAGCCTTTCTTTCAGAGCATTACATTTCTAAATTCTCTCTTCTTTGAAGCAAATGTTTTGACCTTTGAAGATTGGCCTGTGGGTTCCATCAGGTCCCATTGAGGGAAGAGCCTGGATTCATGGTGCTGCAAGGCTTCACCTGTTAATTTCTACTTCATTTACATGTTTTGCATTTGTGGAAAACGCTGAAGATTGAGACTGTGTCAAAATGGGCAAGGGAGAGTTTCCTGACAAGGCAAACCCCCCTTGGGTGCCTTCTCTGAGCCAAAGGAATGAAATGGAATGCAGGAGGCTGGGAAGGTACCTAAATGTCATGAAGCAAGATCTGAGGACTCAAACATTGTCAACTTAAAAACCTTTCATGTGAAAACAGTCACAGAGGAAAACTAAAAAACCCTCTAAAAGGAACAGCTTTGGCCAGGCCTGCTCTGTGGTTCTTCATGTGGACATTTTTAAATAACATCTTCTAGAAAGTTCCTCTCCTGGGCAGGAAAAAATTCTTCTGTAAAGTACGGTGTGTTTGTGCAGGACACAGGTTGTCCCATTCAAGGTGGAATCTGCCAGGACAGAGCTTGAATGGTTCCCAAGAGGTGTCACTCAAGAACTACATTTCACACCAGCTTGGTGAGAGGGCAGGCGAGGGAGGATACGCATTCGCTCCTTCTGTATTCAGCAAGAGCATGTCAAGCACCTTCTGTTTATATGTCACTACGTGAGTTACATGGATGGTATTAAAAATGCAGGCTCATTTCTCAAACTTCAGGGACTCGTATTTTAACTGGTGAAAAAGCCAACATATTAAATGCCTCAAAACATAAGCATACCAATGGGCTTCCCTTCCTTTAGTGTGAAGAGTCACCACTGGTCAAACCTCAGTATAGAAGGAGCATAAGGAGGGGCACTCAATAATGATCCATCTGCAGTGGTCCCCCATTATCCACAGGGGGATATGTCCCCAGACTCCCACTGGATGCCTGAAACTGTGGATAGTACCAAACCCTAGATATACTATGCTTTTCCTATGCATACCTACCTATGATAAAGTTTAATGTATGAATTAGGCACAGTAAGAGATTAACAATAACTCGTAATGTAGTCTCCCTCTCTCAAAATTCCTACTGAACTGTGTTCACCCTTCTTGTGATGATGTGAATGACAAAATGCCTGTGTGATGAGATGAAGTGAGGTGAATGATGTGGGTGTTGTGACGTAGCCTCAGGCTGCTGATGACCTTTTGACAGTATGTCAGAAGGCGGATCATCTGCCTCCAGACCTCAGTTGACCACCGGTAACTGAAACCACAGATAAGGGGGACTTACTGCATTTATAGGGACTGACTTGGCTTATACCTGATCTCTCCATGCCATTGAAATAAGTCAGGAAACCTGGAATTTATCAAGGACTGGGAAACTAGTTTTACTAGAACAGAGAGCCACACTCATTTATGGATTACCTAGGCTGCTTTCAGCTAGGACAGTAGAGTTGAACATGAACAGAGACCATATGGCCCACAAAGCCTATAGTATTTACTACCTGGTCCTTTACAGAAACAGTTTGCTGACCCCTGAGTAGAGAGACACTCAAATCAGAAGAGCCCCCACTAGATCTCAAAATGTGACCTCTTGATAGAGCTCCCCACCAGCTGTGCAGCCAAATGCCTTCTCCAGTTCCTGGAGCTGTCCAGAGGAGAGAAGACAGCAGCTGGTAGGTGTCCTCTCCCCCCAGTAAGTTCAAGACCTCCAGTAGGTAGCATCACCTAGTGATGGCGACCTCAAGCAGAAGGCTGAGGGTCATCCCCTTCTCAGCAGCCTGGAAGAAGAGGCACTTTGCTGGCCAACTTCACCAACACTTCAGTGTCTAAAATAATGTCACACTGTGCTTAACCTTGAACACTTGTAAAATAATGACTTTTTTCCTGATTGGAAAATGAACATACAATTATTAAAACCTGGAAAATGCAAAAAGGAACCTCCCCCCCTCCAAGAAAGAACAGTAAAATCAATGGTAATCCCATAATTCAGATAATCCTATAATAAAGATGACTGCTGTTAGCATTTTGATTCGCATCACAGATTACTATAATGAATTTATTTTTTAACCAGTTCTCCCAATGGTATGCTGCTTTTAGCATGTCAGAAGGTATCTTTCTCAGTATGATTTTTAATGACTGCACACCATTCCATCCTTAAGTGTACTTTTTTAAACAATTGCCAGGTCCTGGACATTGAAACAGGCTTGGCCATTTTGATGTAGCTGAAGACCATCAGGAAAAGGGTGAGACACATCAGACAAGCCTGGATTGCTTTTCTTGGCACAATCTGAAAATATGGGGGAATTTTTAATATCTTTTGATCTTTCCAAATTCCCTTGCTTTCTCTTTTTCTCTATGTCTCTGTCCTCACGAATAGTTAAATCTCGCTCCATCTGTAGTGACGTGGAGCAAATGTGTAGCCTCGCCATAATCCTTCTGGCTGGTTAAGACTGTCACAGACCTCTGGTTTATCCTCCACCCAGTTCAAAGAGTCCAAAATATCCACATTATTATCATTTATTATCTTGTAGCCCTTTTTGGCAGGTGCTAAGTTCTTTACACTACTCTGCTAGGAATTTAAAATACCAGGTTAGCCTCCCTGAAGCCAGAATCCATGCTTGGGGTGAGGGCCCTCTGCTCATGCCAAGGACCAGGCCCATCTGGGGCTCAGGCTGGCCTACAGGAGAAGCACAACCCACGGGCACTTGTATGCGGTCCTTGTCAACACAGTTGGCTTCCTCTGAGAGAAGCACCAGCTATTGCGCCCTGTATTACCTCCTTCTCCCCAACTTGCTGGCACTAAGACTGCCTGTGGGGCCACCTCCTTATCTCTCTCTCAAGGCACCCAACTTCCCAAGCCCAGGTCATGCCATCTGTACACCGAAGAGGCCCCAGGTCTTGCTCCTGAGGCCCCGGAGCCAGACAGGGCAGCCGCAGCTTGATTAGGCTTCTTTGCCAATTTGCCTTCCTCTAGTTTACATATTCAGCAGCAGCTGTTGGTCACCCAGCTGGTTCAAGGGTGGTCCCCGAGAGGCAGAAAAGGAAGACTTCACTGGTTTTCATTCACGCTTGTTAATGCTCCAAAATCAGAACATGCAAAATATATATTTATGTAAAATACTTTAATGATTGAAAAGATAGCTTTGTCCGGGGGTTCAAAACTCGAGCCTTAAGCAGAGGGCATGTGCTGGCATGCCCCTTTTCTGTCCAGGGATGAGGATGGCATGGGTGGGAGGCAGAGCTGCTAAAGAAAGCAGTGAGGTAGTGGATATTTCTCTTGTCTCTCTGCTTTGCCAAATTATTTAATAAACTCAGTTCATTTCTTTGCATTTTCTGGGTGTATAGTCTTATCACTCAGCTAGCGTCCTTCATACTGCTATCTGCACCCTGTTTCCTCCCCTACCTGCCAAAATTTAATGAAATTGATGATGATAAGAAGTAATTAAATTGAAAGACGTTAGTGATAATCATATTGATTAGTGATTGAATAAGAGTACATGCTGTTATCCTATTATCAATTACTTTTTAAGTAATTTTTTTCAAGGCTCAGTACTTAAAAACACTAGTAGTGGATGCTGATGGACAGTGACTGTAATGGGGTTTGTAGGGGGAGGACTTGGTGAATGGGGGAGTCTAGTAACCATAATGTTCTTCATGTAATTGTAGATTAATGATAATAAAGTGAATTAAAAAAAACACTAGTAGTGGAATGACTAGATATGAATATCTTCTTCCCCTTGTTAAGTAAAGCTAGTATATTCATGATCATAAAAACCTGTAAACTGTGAATCCATTAACCAGAACACAATGGAAGCATTGTTTTAAAATGAGGCCCGTATACTTTGTGCACATACTGATGAGAATTATTTAGGCTTCATTAGTGCTGGGAGGACAGCACCATGCCAAGGTGAGGTCCCGTTGTTTGCCCAAGGCCATAAATCTAGACGTAGGAGAGTCAGTGCTTAGCACTCATAGGATGCGGCTGCCAGGTTACTGCTGTTTAGTGGGGTTAACTGGGGGCAGCCCTGCCTTTACTTCCTCTTCCAAACAAAGCAGGCTCCATTTACAGCAGTGGCTCTCAACCTTGGCTGCACATCGGCCTCGCATGAGAAGTTTGAACAGCAGCTCGTGGCAGGGGTCCACCCATCCTGGGACTCCGATTTAATTGGCCCTGGGTGCAGACCGGTCTAATCCAGCCACCATATGTGAAGGTTAGAACACCATCCCTCTAGGAATGCTGAATTCTCCAGTTGGGAGTGAGGTAGTTCTAAAGTACCCCCTCCATGTTCTCTGTGGGGGACATGGGGTATGCTGCACATTAAAGTTACCTGGCAAGCTTTGGCCCTCCTGCTGCCACCATCCCACCTCCCTGGGATTCGGAT